GCTGCTAATTTTTAATATTTTTAATGCATGATATTGCATTACTTTTGAATGACATGATGATGTTCATTATCATTTATTATCAAAGCATCGTAAAGCATGAATACTGAACGAAGTGAGGTTGATTTTGATTTGTTTATATCTCTACTGCAATGTAAGGCATTATCATTCTATGATGTGATGACGTTGGTTAGTTTTTATTGTCAATCTATTATAATGTATTACTATTCTAAAATATGATAATCTTATTTGTTGTTGTATAAAGATGTATCAGTATGTATCCCTATTGAACAGTATGATGATGTCGGTTAGTTTTTATTTGTGATATGTTATAGTTAGTGCAATACTATTCGATGATGATATGTTGTTTTTTTTGTTATATGTATTATAATGCACACATGCTCAATTATATGACAATGTTGATTGTTTTTCAATTCTAATATCTTATAATGCATTAGATTTGGAATGGTATGAGGATATTGCCTTTTTCTTTGTGACACATCAAAACGCATCACGATTAAATAATATGATTATATTAGGTTTTTTTGTAATACATTATAGGAGTTTACGCTTCTGAATGATATGATTATGTTCGATTTTGTCGTCTGTAATGCATTAAAATGCGTCATTTTGTTGAGTCATATGATTATCTTCAAGGTTTTATCCTTAGTGCAAATTAATGGAATGGTTTCGCAATGAAGTTATGATAGTTATTTTTTTTTTATTTGCTGTGTATCATAACGGATTACTGTGCATTGATATGTTGATGTTGATTATTACATAATGGCAATTTAAAAATACTGTATATGTAATTGTTCTGTAATCTGTTTTCCTAAATTGTTATCGGCTGTCATTTTGTCTAGTGAAAAATAATGTTTAGAGGAAGCTGACATACTCAAATGGTTGATTCTGAAATGTAAATGAATAAATGAGCTAAGATTAGTAGAAAGCATTCTTTTGAAAGCGAAAAAATATGAAGATAATAATATAAGCGCTGGAATATATCAAACTGGTGTCTGAAGATTGCATTTGATCGTAAGGATAGATATATTCTTAAATATGGATTGGTCCTTATAGAGATTGAATTGTTTTTTGAAAGGTTACTGGAAAATTTTTTCAATATTTTTTTCCTAGCCTACATAATACAAATATGAGCAAAATAAACAATTTACATATGATACATAATAATAAACACATTTACGTCAAGAAAAATAATTCAAAGCATTATTTTCTTCTTTCTGCTCAACATGATTTAGATTCAGATTTTTCTCTTTTTATTCTTTGTTTTTTTTTTGATTGTGTCTTTCTGATGAGAAAACGTTACCCATTGCATTATTCAATTTAAAATTCGATGTTTCTGATTGATTTGGATGAGCAAGCCGTGCATATTCTTGAAATGTAAACAATAATGATCTATTTTTAATAACTAAGACACCTAGCACGTATAGCTTTAACATGTTCTTTCGACATGAATGATATTTTCATTGTAGAACGTTTATTTACATCTGGATACAAAAATTTTACTAATTCTCGACAAGTTATTGTAATGTGTTTTGAATCTTTGCATGATTCTAATTCATCTAAAGTCATATTCAGTGTAAGAGAGATTTTTTTTAATTTATCTTTTTTTTTCTTTTCATATTCATCAATTCGATAGTCATATAAAGTTTTACTCATATCAACAAAATAAGTCAAAGCATGTCCAGTAGGTCTAGTTGAAAAAAAACATATTACTTAGAATAACTATAAGAAATAAATACTTGGCCATCCAATGACGTTCATAAAAATTAATTTTCTCTCTTAGTTGTTCATTTTCATGTTGAAGTTGTTCGTAAGTCAATGGTTGATTGATATTCAAAAATTCATTTGTTTCACGATCAGATGTTGATTTGCCAACCAATGTATTTTTCTGTCGACCTGTACAAACACAATTCTCAAAGACATTGAGTACTAATAGAACAGAATAGAAAAAAAATCTACAAGTCATCCAAAGTTATTTTAGAGAAAGAAAACTGAATAAAACATTGATAATCTTGTTTCAGCATAATATGGAATTTACATTAGCTGAAGTTGATGATTCTGATGAGATACTTTCTTTTTTATTTAATACTGAAATTGAGGTAGCTTCTGATGTTAAAGATTTATTATCATTGAACATAAAAAGTGATGATATTGTTAATGAACTTTCTGTATTACCTGTTACCATTTTTGGTTTTGATGCTGTTGTTGAACTATTCTTCTCATGTGATTTTGAACTTGATGTTAATGATGTTAAACCTTTATGACTACGTAATATTAAATTTGATGATGTTGCACCTCTTTTTCTGTTCAAAATGAAATTGGATGTTGATAATGTTGCACGTGTTTTTTTGTTCGAAATGGAATTGGATGTTGATGATGATACACCTTGATTATCATTTGATGTCTCATTCAACGATGTACTATTCGATACTTCAAATACTTTGTTAATTTCTTCTTCACTTTTCCTTGAACTTTCTTTTCCGATGATACCTTCATCAAAAAACAATATACCACAACTTGAATCGAAATTAGAATTATTTTCTTCTAACGGAACTGAATAATTTGCTTGTCGTTGAGTTTTACCACACATGATAGATTCATTATTTTTGCCTGAGAACCAAAAAAACCTCTCATTTCAATTTTACCCAACAAAACTCCGAGAAAGTTTTCTTTATGAGTAATGGACTATTCATTTGAATATATAGCAGGAGATTCTGAACCTGATTTGGATCTACTTGTGGTGAGAAAACATCTATGATTTAAAATGTTACCTTGTTGAAACTTTTTCCATCTGTTGATGACACGATGGGTATTTGATTTTATCAATTGCTTTTTGATTCTCTTCAATGACATTGTTAAACAACAATATTCACCTAAAAATCAAATAATCATCAAAGACAAGTGACTCAGCTGGAATTAGTCATAGAATATTGTACTCTAAAACAGAAGCATACAAAAGTCATGAAGATCAATTTAACTGTTCACTAAATTTAGAACAGCGCATTACCGCCCATTATCTGTACACTCCAATTTGAATTAACCACATACACTAAACACTTATAGATGCCACCAGACTACATACAGGCTAACCATTTTCTCCAAGTAATTTTGTTTTATTTGATGCGCGACGTAAAATCGAGCCACAAAACGAACTTTAAGGGGACCCCCCTTTCCCAACTCAAAATTTTCACCTTTATCGTATTTCATTTTTCTTGATTAGTATAGATTTAAATGCCCCCTATCCATTTAGCACACTTTGAGAACTGAAAACCTACATCTTATATACAAAAAAACCGAAAAAAATCACAAAATATGCTGAAACAACCAAAAACACAAATTTCTTTCCGTTTTTCTGAAAATCAGTTTTTTCAACAAAAAAATCAAGTTTTCCCCTTTTTCTCACCTCGTGCCCCAATCAATCGAGCTCAAATTTTTACTGCGAATACTTTGAACAAATTGGGGTGTGTCTTTTTTTTTTTCTCTCGAAAATATTCTTCCTAAGGAATTTTACTAGGTACCACAAAATTGGCACTATAAGAAAAAAACGAAAACAAAACGTAATTTCTGATAGTACCATCAGTAATTTGGTTTTCCTGACGTTCAGGAACGATGTTTTTCAAAGAAAAAAAAAGACACCCAATTCGTTCCTAGTTTTTGCAGAAAAAATTTCAGCCCTAAACAACGAAGCAGAAGAGTTTTGCGGGAGGAGGGAACATCAGATCATTTTTCGCCCTTGGATCGCAAATATCTCTGGGAAGGAAGTATTTTCGAATTCTGAGTCTATGACAATTTTTGCTCTACTTATGGAGATCCATCTACCCCGAAAGTTTCAGAAAATTTCACAGAGCCGCTCTCTAGAAATCTCGGAAAGCGGGTTCCCTTAAGCATACTGCCTTTCTACCAAATTTTTGCGACAACCATAAACGTTCAGCTCCATTCGCTTCCATACACTATTCGAAAACTATCCAGTTCTCGACTATGCATGGAAAAATACTCTTGACCACTACTAGAGGAAAAGTATTACGATCAAATCAACAAACCACTACAGCTAATTGGTAGAACATAAAGCACTTCACAATACCAAAACCCACAATGCGGATATAATACGCAAAAAAATGCATCTTAAGCCATTCAAACGATTAATTCGCAACCACACCGTAGCCTTGAATAACAATCCACTTTCACGCGTTGAAAATCCCAAAGCAACATGGTCACCAAACACTGGTACACAATAGCCTCCTCACGAAATAAACAAAAATTAACTTCACATCCTTCAGTATCAATCCAATAAAATGTGTTCAAAAACAAAACAGCAATAACGACGAAGATTTCAACACTCTAAAAAAAATCGGTTTTTTACCGAACCCCCAAAAAAGGTTCCGGAGATGTCTAAAAGCGTCAAAAGATGTCCAAAGTCTCAAAAAAAGGATAAAAAAATCTACGAAACCTTTAAAGGTTCTTACCGTGTACCCAGGATAAGAACCTTTTCCTGCGAAACCTTTTTTTAAGTTCCGTACAGCAGAAAAGGGTTTCGTAGGAAAATACGAAACCTTTAGAGTTTCATATTAAATCCTAATAGTTTCGTACTAAACCTTCATGATTTCGTAGAGTTTAATACGAAACTCTAATGGTTTCGTATTTTCCTACGAAACCTTTTTCTGCTGTACGGAACTTAAAAAAAGGTTTCGCAGGAAAAGGTTCTTATCCTGGGTACACGGTAAGAACCTTTAAAGGTTTCGTAGATTTTTTTATCCTTTTTTTGAGACTTTGGACATCTTTGGGCGCTTTTAGACATCTCCGGAACCTTTTTTGGGGGTTCGGTAAAAAACCGATTTTTTTTAGAGTGAATCCATACCAATACATTACAAGAAACTACCATGTAATAAAACAGATAATAATACTACCGTTTCATCACAAAATCCGATATTGTCCTATAAAAAAGCTAAATAGTAAATATCAAACAAAATAAAATACAATAAATCCCGAATAGTAATAAAAAGGGTTTATATTTTACGAAAACATCAA